ATAAAAGCTGTGTGCTTAAAGAACAAAAATCAAATGAACCCATTTGAAACTTTGTGATTCAAAATAATAAACATAGTTAATAGCAATTCCATATGTATTATTAAATATCCTTTATTTTAATATTAAAACTGTAGTGACTCAGTTGTTTTTTGTTGTTGTTTTTATTCAGATCTTTTTAACATTATAATAAAGATTATGCTAGTAAATATTACCCTTTTTGTTTTGTTTTTTTGTTTTGTTTTGTTTTAAGGTGAAACTGAGGAAGAAGATCCAAACAGTTCTGACAGTGATGTTACTAATGTTAAGGTCAGATCCGGGGATTCTGTTGAGTCTGGAGGTAACATTACTTTATATATACAAATCTTAAACCTTAGGAACTCATTTGTTGTTTTTTAAAAATACTCTTGTGTGGTGCTTTAGGATAAGACCTGCGCTGTTAACCACAAGGTCGGCAGTTCAAACCCACCAACTGCTCCTTGGAAACCTTACACAGGCTTATGAGTTGAAACTGACTGAAGGCACTTAACAACAAAAACAGACTTAGTATTTATATAAAAGTGCTGATTCTACTTCTATGTATGATTACTAATGTAATGCTATGTTCTATCAGAACAAATAAACCATTTTTAAGTCTGGGGAAAATAAAGTGTCTTTGTGCTCAAAAGCAGTTATTTTTTCATTTGCTTTATAATTTTATAGGGAAACTGATCACGTTGTCATAGTATCAGAAGTGTGTTGGTTAGCTCTTAGGAAATTTTAATATACTTTGAAAAACTTTTTATCTCTAAATTATTCAAATTCAGGCCAATAACCTCTGATTATTCCTATGAATTTATCTTTAAGTTCATTCAAGCAAATTATTGTTTGAAAAGATAAAATGTCAATTTGAAAATTAAGTGGGTATTGAATGAAATTTTGTAAGCGCCACAAGTAATTTTATTTAGTCACTGAAAAAGTAACTCTCCACTGCCTCATGAGCATTTCTATAATTCCTGTTTTACTTCATCATTCCCCTCCTAATGTGAGCCTATAAATTGATTTATGGCCATTCAGTATTCCCTCATTTCTCCCCATTTTTTCTTGAAACAGAAATCCTGGAGAGATATGTAATACTCTAGCATATTGGTTAAGAACATGAGCTCATAAGCCAGAATCCCTGGGATTCAGTCCTCCACTTACTAGGTGTGTGTCCTTAAGCCGTTACTTAACTTCAGAGCTTTGTTCCTCAGTGTCCTCATCTACATTGTTATAAGGATTAAATTAATATATTAGTAGGCTCTAAAGCATTTAGAAAGAATAGTCCCTTTCTAAATACATACAGCTGTAACCATTAGAGACTGATTAAACTATATAGTTAATGGTTTGCTGCCATTACTACCAGCATATAGCTATTTGAAAGCACATAAACTTCTGTCTCTGATCCCTTTAGAATTCTAATAAATTCTATGACCTTACCGGAGCGTCGATAACCACATAGAGAAGAAAAAACTTGTTAAAGAACGCAGAGTTAAGTCATATTAAAAATAATACTGACCTTCTTAGATTACCCTTGGGTCAGTCATCTTTAAAGAGATCTGAGAAGAGCATTTGAATGCATTAAAAAGATATTAGAATCTCATTTATTTATTTTATTTCATCCATTTAAAATGTCTAGTTTATGTCACATATAACACAAGTTAATTAAAAAAAACACCTTTTTTATAAATGAGTGAAGGTTTACAGACAAGATAATCAGTTTTACATTCAACAAATCATACTTTTTGTTTCATCTCAATGACTGCACTTCCTTCCATACACCAACAGTTATTCCGCTACCTTTCTGTGGTTCTGTTTCTATTCCACTCACCTTCCCATCCCTTCTCACCTTTGTCCTTAGGTACAAGTTACCCCTTTGTTTTGAATAATTGACTGTTCCATCATTCAACATGCCTTACTAGTGTTGCTGTCCCTTCTATATACCTATCTATGTTAATATCTGATTTCAACAGTTCGTGTATATAATGTTACAGGAAATAGTATCAGAAGTTGATGCTCGAAGTTTCTTTAATAAATAGGAACACACTGAAAAAAATACTTATTTTTTTTCAAATACTTCTGTGTCCAAAATAACAATCTGACTTTTAAACAAATCTAGTTATAAATTTTCTATTTCAATATGGGGAAAAAAATGTTTTTAAGAAGGGTAGACTAAAATATATAATATGTTGCCCCGTAACTAGAAAATTTAAAGGCAAAATGAATGTTAATGATTTTAAGAGATCCATCTCTGCCAAAAGATCAAAACGATCTGTGTTGGAAGAAGTACAGCCAGAATGCTTCTTTTGAGCCACGATGGTCAGAATTCGTTTCTCATACTTTGGACATATGATCAGGAGGGACCAGTTCCTGGAAAAGGATATCATGTTTGGTAAAGTGGGGTCAGATAAAAAGAGGAAAGTCCCCCAACAAGATGGATTTGCGCAGTGGCAGCCGCGATAGGTTCAAATGGAGCAACGATTTTCAAGTGAGGTTGGCATGGAACCAGGCAGTGTTACTCTATTGTGCATAGGGTCGCTATGAGTTGGTACTGACTCAATGGCACCTACCAACAACAATCACAGCAAATTTTCAAAACTTTTCCTACATTAAAGGTTTTTTTACTTCCTTTACCTCATGCTATATTCCGTTCCTTACCACTTAATTTTTTTTTTTTTCCTTAAAAAGTGTTTAGGGAAAATACAGATTATCATCTACAACATGACTCCTTTAGAAATTAAAAAAATAAATTATGTATCCAGATGTAGAATTTCCTGGTGTTTACCTGAATATTTTTTTTCTCTTTTGATTACGTACCCATTCATTTGTAAAGTGTAGCAAAAAGTTAAGTAGGCTTTTGATTATGTACTATGAGTTTTGGCTGTTGTTGTTTTTTTTTTTTCAGATCAAACCATTAGATCAACTAGTCAATATACAGAATCATTTTGGCAGTCGTCACAAAGTAAGTAAAGCCATATTTTACACTCTTACATGTCTATTTGTAGGCATGATCAAATTCTATTCTTATTTTTAAAGATCCTTTCCCAGTTTAATGAAAGTTTTGAAAAAGAGGTGTAGAGAATTCTAAAATAACTCATTGAATACCTTTCTTGGAATTAGCTTCTTAAGTTATTTATGTTTGTGCCTGAGCCTGAATTTGAATTCAAAACAAAATTCTCTATGGTTTGTGGAATGCTGTTGTTTACCCTATGAAAATTAAGTAAACATATGCTAGGCACCTGATAAACTTCTAGTCCATTGTAGCTGTGATTTTGATGGTATTGGTTCTAAAAAAAAATCCCTGGTAGAATAGTGGATTACACATTGCGCTGCCACCTACAAGGTCAGCAGATCAAATCCACCAGCCACTCTGTTGGAGAAAGAGGAGCTTTATGCTCCTGTAAAGATCTACAGCCTCTGAAACCCTGTATAGAGAGTCACTATGAGTCAGAGCTGACTTGACAGCATACAGTAGCAGCAGCATTGATTCCAAAGTTGACATTTTATTTGGCTCCTGAACACTTTGAAGTTTAAAAAAGGTGAAATTAAATATGTTTGGAACTGGTGCAAGAGAAAAAGGTTTGAATTTTTAGGTTTATAGTATCCATGAATAAACAAAATGTTTGCTCAATATCTTTTTTGTTTTTAATTCCAAGTATTTCATAACTTTAATCCTGTTTTCTATTTTAGATCAAGACTTCACCACAGCTCATGATAAGCAAGCTTCAGTACTGAGTAAGTGGTTGATTACCTGCTCTTTTCTCATTCATTCAGTTCAAATCCTGCCTTAGACTGTCAACAAAATGTTCTAGTAAGATTTTAAGTCATTTTACCCTCTTTACTTCTTTATCTACCACACATTGACAGCATATATGTGATGATGTAAAATGTATTCAGGACTATTTTACCGTAAGTAATTTACTGCGAGAGTAAACGGTGAATTTTTTTTTTTTTCCAACTTTTAAATAACATTGAAATCCGATGAAGTGTGATTGAATTCAGCCATTCTCAGTAGACCAGAACAAAAGACTGCCACATAGTGTTATCTTGCAGGCGATGCTAATATTCTGCCTGTTTTGCAGTGGAAGTAGTTCATCCTCCTAGGTTTTATCCTTTGAAATGAACTCTTACTTCTGAACCGATTGATTTGTTGTTTTCCTTCCGTACTTTATTTTGTCTTTTTGTTATGTTTAACTTAAAACACTGAAAATGTGGTATACATTTTCAAATTATGTGAAAAGATACTTTCTTCATTTATGTATTTGCTTCAGGCTCGGGATATCAAAAAACCCCTCAGGAGCGGGTCGAACAAACCCCAAGAATCAGGAGTAGGATACAAAGTAAGTAGATAAATCTTTACCTTTTATTGGAATAATTTTCAAGCTTATTGACTTTGTTTTTCATAATTATCTAATATATGAAAATATTTGCTTCTTCAGGTAAGCATTTAGGTTGTGATTTCTCTAATAAGAGATCAATATGAACTCTATAAATACTACAAAGTCCTGGTGTGGCACTGTGGGATAAAGCACTGGACTGCAAGATCAGTTTGAACTACAGGGTTAGCAGTTCAAACTCACCAGCTGCTCCTTGCAACTATACAAGGTCACTATGAGTTGGAACTGACTCAACAGCACTTAACAACAACAAATATAATAGCTATTAGTTTTTTGTTATCATTAGCATTATCATAGACTAACACTTTACAACATATACACATTTTCTCTCTCTGAAACCACTATGTGAGGTAGGATAAACATCTGATTGGTTGTTTGTTTGTTTTTTTTTAAGTAATTCAGTTGTAACTTTCGTGACCTCACTTAGAAACCTTCTAAATCTCTAAACTAAACTACGTTGTTAGTGTTGTCAAGTGCCGTCAAGTCCATTCCAACTCATGGTGACCATGTATAGAGTTTCCAAGGAGTAATTGGTGGGTTTGAACTGCCAACCTTTGTAGTTCATACCAACCTTGCAGTCCAATGCTTTATCATATAACACCATACCAGGACTCTAGTTTAAACTAATCACTGAAAAATATGCCTCTTAGAGATAGGGTTGATGTCATTTTGTCTCTTTTAAGTTTTTACGGACATACAACCATAATGAAGACATTTCTGTATCTTAGCAGTGCTAATTTTATTCTTCCAGTTTTGCCCAGAGTTTCTCAAGTGATAGTTGTTGATAAACACCAGGAAGGTCATTTATATACAAAACGTTATAAAACTTCAGGCCACTGATAGGTGGCAGTATAAATGTAGGTCACAAGAGTGAGACAACTTGGCCACTTCACCTTTTGAGTTCTGACTCTTTGTTTCCTCTTTCTCAGACATTACAGCCCACTACCATGCCAACAAGGATGGGGCTGGAGAGGGAAGGGTTAAGGTAGTTTTAAATGTATCTTCTAAGGTAATATGTAAGTATAGAATTGATGGAGTTGTGAGAAAGTTACTTTTGAGATCTGTTGTTTTATCTACTAAGAACAGAAGTACTTGTCTGTTAACAGAAATGCTGAAAATTTTTTTGATGTTTTTTAAAAAATATTTGAGATGGTCAGAAGCCTCAGAAGCAATATTTGAATCATTTGGGGTAGAAAATAGAATTCAAGGTTGAGTTTCATATTAAATCCTTTATATAGTTTAATAATCTATCATCTACTTGTTCCCCTTTTCCCCTCCTTTACAGCATCTTCAGCAGCCAAGACATCAACATATGGCGGTTTTTCAGATGGTATATGTTTCCTTTTATCATAGTTGTGCCTGTTTGCATTGTTATCCTCTAGCTTTATCCCAGCAGTTTCACCAGTCCCACTAAATAAATGATTATGAGCCAGTGCTTATGTATTAGTGTCTGTTTTACTTTACTAGACTGTGTTAGTGTATTAATGTATTAGTGTACTAGACTACCACATACTATGAGTCAATATGAAAAAAATAAGTCTTGTGTTTCAAAGAGCTTTCAGTCAAATAAGCAATTTGATATTCTGCTTTCTTCTGTTTTTCGCTGATTTCTGCTTTCTTTTGTATTAGTAGAATTTCTATTTTCTCCTTCCATTAAAAGTAAATACTCATGTGAAACATAAGTTAACAGTCTTTTATTTTCATTCTTATCATTAGATGACAACATTCAGAAATCAGTGCTTGGAAACCAATCTCCTTCAACCTCCAGACAGCGTAAGTCTGTCTTTTCAGTTTCTGTTAGATAAAATCTACAAAATCAGTAGTCCATATTTGATTGTATTTTCTCTGTGGTAAAATAATTTTTGAATTATGCAGTTTGAAAAATCATATCTTAAGGACTACAGAATAAAAAAAATGTATTTTACTAGCAGTTTTAATTCTTTAAGAACAAGCTATATGAAACAGCATGTAGTTTTCCTTTTCACTTTATTGCCTATAAGACCAAAAGTAAATAAAGCTACTAATAATATTAATTTAGTGAACTTTGGTGAATTAGAGAAAATATAGCACATAGCATAATACAATGGGATATCATCACAGGGTTGGAGTCTGTAGACCTGGATTTGTGTTACATACCACCATTTCCACTGCTGTATAGGCTTGCAGCAAGTTTCTTTAATTTTCAAAGTCTCTTCATTATCCTGAATGACTGTTGTTAAGTGCCACCAAGTCAGTTCTGACTCATAGTGACCCTGTGTAGGGTTTCTGAACCGCCAACCTCATGGTTAACAGTCCAGTGCTTATCCTACAGTGTCCCCTTTACACCAGTAAAATTAAGGATCCCAAAGAGCTTTTTTTTATATATTTATCTAGAAATTAAAATGGAGAAAAAAATTTAAACTATTTATTAGTTTATTTAAAAATAATTTAGTAAAAAGAGTGACCAGTTGTTTTGTATTTTTTTGCTAATCTCTTTAATGCTCTACTTTAATAAATGGAGCTGGATTCTCATATATGCTTCTGCATTCAATCTATTGTGATACTGTTTTGTTTTAAAAAAAAGCTTTTGTGAATTGAGTGATAGTTTACATGGGAGAACCTCAGTTTAAACAACACAAGGGCACATTCTGCAGGCCCACCTACTGGCTGCCAGCAACACAGCCTTTCTCTTTCCATGAGTCTAGAGTCCTCAGCTGCTCTGTCTCTCCATGCCATCGTCTCTGCCTCCATCACTGGTTTTGCTTCTTCTCTAGTTAGGGTCCCATGTTCTACTCATGCTCTTCTCTCTTGATGGTCCTAGGGTCCTCTGCTCCTGGAATGTAAGCTTAACTACCCCTCCCCCCTTTTTGTTACAGTTTCTACCTTTACAGTTGTGACAGTAGCAATTAGTCATGATAACAATTACTCACTATTGAATCAAAAGAATCCTATCCCCATCTCCTTCCACCAGACCCATCTAGACAAAATGAAAACTATTCAGTAGGATTCTACTTTCCCCCGCACACTCTGAAACTAAACTCCCTGTTGAAATCTTGTAAGCCAATCACTTCATGCCTTTATAACCCCCACCTCCCATTTTAGGTAGCCAATGCCTTAAGTTGCCCATCCCTATGAATCCTGTGTACTAAGGGGATAGACTTGATACTTGATCACTCCCTTCTTGGTTGGTATTTTGAGCTGCTACATCCACAAGTATAGGTCAAGTTCATCATATTGTAGCAATTTCCTTCCTTTATCAAATTTCTTTATCTTCCTCTAGTCCAAGTCTGATGATCAAGTCATCGGAGCTAGATCAGATGGGTACTATCTACAAGTTAGGCCGTTCTTGTGCATCTGCCCCCACTTCATATCAGTTGGATGTTTCACTCTCAGCTCTAGCCCTCCGTGGCTAGGTCAGTGTCTATGGACTCAGGAATTCCCAAGTCTCCACCCAAACTTCAGACCATCCAGACCTTCTTCTTCTCTCTTTTGTCTTAGGGTTGACAGGAGTCTATGGAACATGGTTGAACTCAGCCCATATCCTCATTACTGCCTTTCCCCAACTTCTACTCACATGTAGACCAATGCAGTCACCAACGAGCTTTACATGCCTGCTCATGTGTTCCCTTTGAGTTTCAGTCTTGGGAATGGGGTTTGTCCTGAAAGGACTTGGTTGCTTGCCTTGATAGCTGCCTGGCAAACAGCTTGTTTGTTCTTCTAATAGCCAAACAGATTGCCGTTTTGGGTTTTGTTTTTATTTTTTTCCTGTTCGTCTTTCTTTCAAGAAGTATCTTCTGTCCTTCTAGCTGCTTCGGGCTGGTTGCATATATTTTCAAGTGGGAATGTCCCACCTCAGAAGGTTCTGGATGGGGCTCAGGATTCACCCAAGGTCCTATACTCTGCAAAGGCTCTGCAAGAAGCCTATTTCACTGGGCAAGTTCTAGAACCCCTTTTAGGTATTCCAGTCAGTTACAGACTGAAGACGGGCTTATAATCTTTCTATAACCATGTTTCCTGATTATTTCTTTCTATCTCACTCAAGTTTCCATTTTCCAGTAGTAGGCAAGGGAAACCAATATCCACAAGACAGTTAAGCATCTTAACATTATTTCCTCTCTTTTAACCATTCAGACTATTCCTTAATCCCTGTATCACAGAGCTTTGTTGTTCCAAGGTTGGGCATACATTACTATTTACCTCTGTCCAATGTAACCCATGCAAACCTGCCTCAGTGTTCCCCTATCTTCCTTGTTTTTCCACCCCCTTCCCCCTTCTTGTGGATTGCCTTCCCCTTCCTTGTGTATTGCCCTCCCCAACACCTAAGCTATGATGTGACTATTGTTGTGATATTGTTGATTGAAGTATCGAAGTATCTGCAAAAAATCCAGTTTCACATAGAGACATACAGGATTTTAATATCCTTTCAGTTAATTGTGGGTATTCCTTGGATATTACCCAAACTCTGTGAGTTTTAACAAAATCTGAAATTTAAAACCATACAATGACCCATTTGTACTCTTTTATTAAAATCCATTCGTCTCCTTTGTGCTGTGACTAGAACATCATGCATTGGTCATTTGAAAATATTGGTTGTCTAAGTTATGGAGATCTTATGACTTTGTAGTAAAATACCAAAAGATCACATTTGTTAATGTTACCACCATTCTCAAAAGAAAGAAAAAAAACTATAAATATTGGAAGCTAAGTGCTGTCGAGTCAGTTCTGATTCATAGTGACTCTGTATAGGGTTTCCAAAGAGCAGCTGGTGAGTTTGAACCGCCAACCTTGAGGTTCAAACCAGCCTTGAAGTCAAGTGTTTATCCTGTGGTACCACACAGATTGACTATTGCCCACATTCTAATTTTCATTTGAAAACTTGAGTTTTATAATTAGCAACAAATGTTGTACGTTGTTTTCCCACAACCAATAGGTTCACTTTATTTTCAAGAAAGTGTCTGCCAGATATGTAAGTCTGAATAGCTGCAGTTTGTTATGTATTCCTTGGTGGCTGATTTAGTACTCTACTTAATCACACAAAGTTCTTTACCTGAGACAGCCATTGTAATATGGTATGTAGCACACTACTTTATATGTACTTCCCATTTCTTCACACAGAATTAAACAGATAGTTTAATGTTTTGGTGTCCTAGGGCTGTTCTAACAAAATAAAATGTTGACATTAAAGAACAGAAATAGATTTTCTCACATTCTGAAGGGTAGAAGGTAGAAGTTACCGCTTCAGGAGGGTTACACGCTGGCTCTCTCATGCTCTTTGCTGGCTCTAGGGAAGTCAGCTTCTATAACTCCAATGGATCTTAGCTTCCTTAGCTTGTAGACTGATCTTCACATATTGTTTTCCTCTTGTGTGTGGGTCTCCCTTTCCATTTTTGTCTTGCTCTTTTATCAAATGCCACTCAGAAGGGATTATGATTATGGCTCTCCCAACTCCTCTATTGCCTCATTAACTATAATGTTTACAAAGAAAATCTCTCGCCCACACAAGATCATATTCGCCACTACATACTACAGAGTTAGAACATCAGCTTATATTTTGGGGAACATAGTTTCATCTATACTCAAGGGTTGAGATTTAACAAAGTGACTAATTTATTATTTATTGTAACTCTTCATAAGGTGTATTCCTAAATGAAACTGGCCTTTGATTTTTGTGCCTTGAGTGCATAAAAGTGAAGCCTGTAGTGACTAGACTAGTTTGACATCACTTCCTTAATTCATGCTAAGGCTCCAGCAGTTTTTCCACCATTGCTTTTATGTATCAGTAAATGTCAACACAGTGAAAAAAAGTGAATACTAACTTTTTTTTTTTTTAATTTAAG